TGCAGGGGTGGTGGTGAGGTGACGGGTGACGGGTGGCGGGTGGCGGTGACGGCAGGCAGGCTACCTTCGCACAGCTCCAGCGGCCTGAGCCTGAGTTCCACCTGTCGCTGGCACCCTTCCCTGTTCATGAGGCACTCGCTGGGGTACATCTTGAGGTCGGAGGCACAGACGGGGCTCTGGGGCACGTTGGTGCAGTCCAGGCGGCACGAGCAGCGCGGCAGGCCGTCCTCCAGCACCGTACACGTGGAGCCGTACTCGCACGTCATGGTGGCGCACACGTCGCCCGCCGGGCCCGGCACCAGGGCGTGCACGGGGACCGGGGGCGCCGCGGCGGGGGGCGGGGGCGGCGACGAGTCTCGAGGGCGGACGGGGCTCGGCTCGTCCTCTGGCAGCCGACGCGAGGGACGAGAGTTAGTCGGGAGGGGGGGGGGGCGTCGCTGGGTCCTGGTGTACGTCTACGTGTGTGTTCGTGTGGTCGGAGTGTGTACCAGTGTGTGTAGGTGTGGAGTAGTGTGTGCGCGCGCTCGGAACAACACACAGCAACTGGAAGACGTGTCAGGTACTCGTGTTGTCAGTGTGGGTTGTTGACACAGTGAGGGTGACGAGAGATCAACACGAGGGCAGCGTCACACAAGCAAGTAACAGCCCAGACAAACTGAAGTGTCGCTCAGTAAGGTTAAGCTACTCTCTTTTTTTTTTAGTAATACGAACATTATGAAAATTAGTGGAGAACTCTTTGGATAACAGTGTTATTTTCTTCTCATCTGAGTTAATGAACACAGAATATTACTTACAAGGATGTAATTTATCAGCTTTATAGTGGATTTCCGTTTTTTTTTATTTTTTTAAGGAAGAGTAAGAAACCAATGATCCCAGCTACAAAAAAGTACTTCGGCGAGCAACCTTTCTTGCTTTGGGTTGGTCAGAAGCGTTCTTGCGACCGTCCTTTACTGAGATTTATTGCTTCGGCTTGCTCCTAAAAGCAAGATTTATCAAGACGTTCCTCGGGGACGCAATTTGGACTTGTGAGAAAGGTCGCTTCCCGAACCAGCCTCAGGTCAACCTCAAGCAAGAAATTTTGGCAGGAGTTGCTCGCCAAAACGCGTCTCACGATATCATGATGGCAGCAAAAATAAAGTGAAGAAAGAAAGAAAAAGAAGAAAAAGACCGACCGTTTCTGCTAACGATCCGCAACTCAAAGAATTTAAATGCAATCAGGCCTTTTTAACCAAACTATTCCGTGCGCCAGATTTTCACTTTAACAATTATTCAGATTAACCATCGGTGTATTACGAATTAATACAATCCACTTTAATAACAATATCAGTTTTATCTGATAGGAATGAATTGCGTGATGAATCCCATTATGTGGCGCAGGAAAAGTACCCTCAGTCGCTACTAGCAATGATTATTTATGAATATTGAAAAATGTTGAACGTAACTGCAACTCCTCTTCATAGTTCGGTTGAAATCCATCAACGGAAACAGGACAGTTGCCAATGAGCTTATAATGCAGACTTAATGACAAAATGCAATGCCGTTCAGTGTAGACATTACACAGGAACCGAAACACTTGATAACAATACGAGAACATAATACTCGCACGAAATTAAGCCTAAAACAACGACAGGGTGGAGAAAAAAAAAACTTCACTCACGTACAAACAGATCAGTAAAGAAACACATCGTACACACGCGCACATACATCCAACATAACAAACGAAACGCAAAAAACAAACAAACAAACAGCCTCATCCAACCCCCCCCCAAAAAAAAAAAAAAAAAAAAAAAAAAAAAACGAAAAATGAAAGAAAAAAAGGAAAAAAAAAAAGAAAAAATGAAACGAGTAAAGCCAACCGCCCAAAGTACTCACTGGAGGTGCGCGCTTCCGAGCACTCCCCGACGAAGGTGACTCTCAGGCCGCCCTCGACCCCGCACGCCGCCTTCTGCATCTCGCACTCGTTCTCGTACGTCTCGCCGTCAGAAGCGCACACGGGCTCGCGGGTCGGAGGGCAGTCGGTCGGGCACACGCAGTGCCCCGCCTCGCACCGCCCGCCGAACTTGCACACCACGTGTTGGCATAAGTCTGTTGGGGGAGGGGAGGGGCGGAGGTGGGGGAGGGGAGGGAAGGGGGAAGGAGGGAAGGAGAGAGGGAGGGGGAAGAGGGGGGAGAGGAGGGAGGGGGAAGGAAGAAAGGAGAGAGGTAGGGGGAAGAGGGGGGAGAGGAGGGAGGGGGAAAGAGGGAAGAGGGAGGAGAGAAGGAGGAATAGAGGAGGATGGAAGGAAGGATAATTGGAAGAAGGGAAGGCCGGGGTGAAGGAGGAAAGAAAGAGATATTATTGTCATTATTCTGGTTATAATGAGGATAATGAATACAATTACTATTTTTTCGTTATTTCTTAATAAGCGATTCTAGAAAAAAATACACACACTAAAAACCTTACAAATTCAATCTAACAAAGAAAAAGAAAATCAACAGGGAAACAAATAACCAATAAGCCTTACCGCAGTCACCCTTGGAGGCGACCATCACAAACTGCTTCTTGCGGCAGGAGGCCACCTTCAGGAGGCACTCGTTCAGATACGTGATGCCGTCAGTGCCACACACTTTGCTCTCGACCTGCGAAGGAGGGCGTGCGAGGCGGCGGGTTAAGTGGGTATTAAGTGGGTATTTTAGAGAAGAAAGGAGGAGAAAGGGAAAGAAATCTTATTTTCAAAGTAGTCTCACCATATCTGGGCAAATACTTAAAAAAAAAGAGAAATGCATATTGTTTTATCACTATTGCTATTACTATTAACATCAAACTATTATCATTATCACTATCATTTCATTATCACCTCTATCATCAATATCACCATTGCTATCGTTGCTAACATCAATATAGTAATTATTATCACTAACTTAGTCTAATTCTTTGCAATACCGCCGATCCCCATTTAACAACGTATATTCATTCCTCCCAAAATAATAACAAAACATCAACTGAAAATACGTTCGTCTCCCTCCGTCTAGGAACATAACAGCCCATACGAACTCATTAAATTACACCTTTATTTTCGGTCCTTACCCCCCCCTTATACCCCATATACTCCCTCTATACCCACTCATATTCACACATTCTCGTTTTCATCTTATATAAACTAATTTGGTGTTTTTTATTTTTTTATTAGGCATCGGATTTCGTAAGGATTAAAAAAAAGAAATTGCGAATTATTCTTATTTATAGTTAATTTTTTTTTTAACCTCATAGACTAAGAAATTTAATATAGAAATTCAAACCAGAAAAAAGAGCTACTTTTCAAATAAAATCCTATCCTCAGTCTTATACACCGACACATCAAGCACACCAGAAATAACTCATCAAATCACAACAATTATGACCTTCTCCAAACACACAAACCGACATCAAGCGTCGAGACACTATAAACACCATATACATAATCATTATCCCGGCCACTCCATCCCCTACACTACCTCTTTACCCCCAAACAGCTTACATCCACCCCCTCCACTTTCATCCACCCCAGCACCCCCTATCCACCCCAACACCCCCCTCCATCCCATCACCCCCTTTCCCCCAACCCCCTCCACCCCTCCACCCACCCAAAAAAAAAAAAATAAATAAAAAATAAAAACAACAACAAAACCTCAAAAATGAACTCACCATATCACATCCTTCGGGACACACGCAGCGGCCGACTCCTTCCTGGTCAGCCTCACAAACCTCATAGAAATCGCACTGTTTGTCCTCACAGCCGCCTGCAAGAAGCCCACGGTCATTAGCCCTCATAAACTCTCCTCACTTAGCGCAAATGAGGCAATAAAGCTGTCTCCTATCCTCTCCTCTCCCCTCATTCGGAAGGGGATAGCCAGGCATTTATATTAGGTGAAAGGGGGGAGGGAGGGAGAGGGGAGGGAGAAGGGGAGGGAGGGAGGGAGGGAGGGAGGGAAGGAGGGAGAAAGGGAGGGAGGGAGGGAATGAAGGGGAAGGTGGATGGGAAGGAGGGAGAGAGGGAAGGAAGAAAGGAGGGGGGATGAGGTTAGGGGAAGGAGGAAGAGGGGGGGGGATAAGGGGAGGAGAGGGGAGGGAAGGAGGGGAGGAAGAGAGGAGGAGAAGTGGGTGTAGGAGGGAGGGAAGGAGGGAGGGAGAAAGGGAGGGAAGGAGCAGTGAGGGAGGGAGGGAAGGAGGGGAGGAGGAGCGGAAGGTGAAGGAGAGGAGGGAAGGAGGGAGGGAGGGAAGGAGGAAAAAAGAGAGAGGGGATAAGACGGGCTAAGAGAGGGGAAGACGGGAAGAGGGGGGGAGGAGAAGGGGGGGGAGGGCGTCTTTGCAGGAAGGGAGATTCATAGTTGGGAATAAACATGAAGTAGAAGCCTCCACCGGAACATAATGAGGGAGGGTAATAAAGCGCGTTTTATGAGCGGGGAACAATAGAAAAAACCGAAGGAGAAGGAAAAAATTGGAAGGGGGAGAGAGGGGAGGGAGGGAGGGAGGGAGGGAGGGAGGGAGGGAGGGAGGGAGGTGGATAAAGGAAGTGTGTGGGAGGAAGGAAGAAGGAGGACGGAGGAAGGAGGTGGGAGGTAGGGTGGAGGCAGGAAGCATAATGAAGGAGGTGGGAAGGAGGATGTGGGAGGAGGAAGGAGGGGGAGGAGGGAGGAGGGAGGAGGGAGGAGGAAGGAGGGAGGAGGGAGGAAGGAGGAGGCAAGAGGGAGGGAAAAAAATAAGAGCTGTACTAAAATCGAATAGAAGCACGAAATCCTGATGAAATGGGATGAGTGAAGGGGAGAACGAGAAAAAAGGAAAATGAGAAAGTTGATGGGAATGTAAAACGATGTCTGATACATAAACACAAATGAATCGACAGGTAAATCAATACATCAATAAACAGATAAAAGAAATTACAAAATAGAGACGAGTAAACAAATCACACATACACAGAAAGAGAAAGAGAGAGAGAGAGAGAGAGAGAGAGAGAGAGAGAGAGAGAGAGAGAGAGAGAGAGAGAGAGAGAGAGAGAGAGAGAGAGAGAGAGAGAGAGAGAGATAGAGAGAGAGAGTGAGAGAGTGAAAGAGTGAGAGAGTGAAAGGGTGAGAGAGAAAGAGAGAGAGAAAGAGAGAAAGAGAGAGAGAGAGAGAGAGAGAGAGAGAGAGAGAGAGAGAGAGAGAGAGAGAGAGAGAGAGAGAGAGAGAGAGAGAGAGAGAGAGAGAGAGAGAGAGAGAGAGAGAGAGAGAGAGAGGCAACCCATAAAAGAAGCAACAGAAAAGACGAGAGAACCGGGGAACCAGGGACCGTCCCTCGCCACAGACCGCGGCGAAAAAGTCCAGCAAGATCCGAGGCCAGGCAGTGACCCGAGCTGACCTTTGGCCGACCTGATGGAGGAGCATCAGTCAGACATGAATTCTGAATGCGTCTGTTGGGCTCCGCTGAAGCGTTCACTGTATCAGACTGTAACTTTCCATTCCCTTTTTTCCCCCCCAGCTGAACTTTGTACATCAATTAATCTATTAATACTGTCTAGAAAACACTCCATGAATATAAAACACAGGCGGCCTGGACTGCTCTATTGAACGGTGCAACTAGACGCAGAAGATATATTTGGTCATTAATCGAACAGCAAAAGGATCCACCAAGAAGTTTCGCTCTCCTATCCCCCTAGGTTTCTATCACAGACGTCTCTCCATATCCAAAATTCAGTCGATCGAATATCCAAATGGACTGAACGAAAATGGACCTTGAAAAAAAAAAAAAAACTGAACGAAAATGAACCTTGAATGGCGGGATTTTGGGACGCGACTTAGCGGTCAAAGTCAGAGGGATGCGAACTGATGGCGGGAGAGAGATTACAATATTACGAGGAAAATAAGGAGGAAATTGATGAGAGATAAGAGAAAAAGAGAGAGATAATGAGACAGGAAGGGAAAGAGGGAGGGAGGGAGGGAGAGAGAGGAGAGAGAGAGAGAGAGAGAGAGAGAGAGGAGAGGAGAGAGAGAGAGAGAGAGAGAGAGAGAGAGAGAGAGAGAGAGAGAGAGAGAGAGAGAGAGAGAGAGAGAGAGAGAGAGAGAGAGAGAGAGAGAGAAAGTAAGAGAGTGAGAAAGAGAGAAAGATAAAGAGAAGGAAAAAAATAAAGAAAAGAAGAGAGAACAAGAGATAAAGAAAGACATTGAACTATTCTCGAAATGAAAGGATGACAGCTTGATGACTGTCACAATAAAACGGAAAAATAGAAATGGAACTGACAAGAGAGGGAAATAGAAAGGTAATAAACAACACAAAAAACAAAAGCAAAACAAAAAGGATGCATAATGGTGGAAGATAATGAGGGAGAAAATAGACGTTATCTAAATACTTTAAGTGAAGAGAAAAATTACCTTTTGTGCTGATGAGGTTAGAGGGAGAGCGTGGGGTGGGGTGGGAGATAGGGGGAGGGAGATGGGTGGAGGGAGGGAGAGAAAGAGAGAAAAAGGAGAGAGAAAGAGAGAGAAAAGGATAGAGAGAGAAAATGAGAGAGAGAGAGAGAGAGAGAGAGAGAGAGAGAGAGAGAGAGAGAGAGAGAGAGAGAGAGAGAGAGAGAGAGAGAGAGAGAGAGAGAGAGAGAGAGAGAGAAGGAAAGGGAAAGTCGAGAGAACAAGAAGAGAGAGACCAAAGTGAATAAGCAAAGACAAATAACCTAAAAGAAGACAAAAAAAAGGAAAAAAAAACTGAAAATGACATAAGCGAAAGCGGAGGAAAAGTTAAAGCCCCGCACACATGGCATCAAAGCAAGTGCCATTTACTAATGGGAGGCACGATAAACAGAGCCCAAAGGCAAGGCAAACAGCCAGGACAGCGACTCACAGGGCGCACCAAGGCATCGCCGCGCGTTCTTTACAGGAGCTCTGAAATGCGCCGGACAATTAGCAGGTAAATAAGATTAGCACCTTCTTGCAGACTTGGGATGGGAGGGGGGAGGGGGGAGGAGGAGGAGGGGGAGGGGGAGATGGGAGGGGGGAGGGAAGGGGAGGAGGGAGGGGTGATGGGAGGGTGGAGAAGGAGGAAAAGGTGGGAACAGGTGAGTGTAGGAAGGAAGGAAGTTCTGGGAGTCTGTCTGTCTCTTCTCTCTCTCACTTACTCAATCTCTCTCTTTCTCTCTCTCTCTCTTTCTCTCTCTCTCCCTCTGAATATATATATATATATATATATATATATATATATATATATATATATATATATATATATATATATATATATATACATACATATATATATATATATATATATATATATATATATATATATATATATATATATATATACATATATATATATGTATGTATATATATATATATATATATATATATATATATATATATATATATATATATATATATATATATATACATATATATATATATATATACATATATATATATATATGTATATATATATATATATATATATATATATATATATATATATATATATATATACATACATATATATATATATATATATATATATATATATATATATATATATATATATATATACATATATATATATATATATATATATATATATATATATATATATATATATATATATATATATATATATATATATATATATATATATATATATATATATATATATATATATATATATATATATATATATATATATATATATATATAAAGACAGAGTAAGAAGAAATTGCCACGAAGCGCCTGGCACTCACTGCATCGGCCCCGGTATCTGACGGTGAGGTTGCGGTGTATCCGGCACGCCTCGGCCCGCAAGCGGCACTCGTTATCGTAGGAGATCCCGTCGGAGCCGCAGACGAAGTCCAGGCGGGCCGGGCACTGTGGGCACTCGCACACGGGCCGCCCCTGCCGCTCCACGCAGACGCCGCCGTGGTCGCACACGTGGCCGGCGCAAGGGCCTTCCTCTCCTGAAGCAGGGGAGAAATGAGGGATTATTTTCCTGTGGAAGGTAAGGATACACATTCCTCCTTGAGAAGGGGCATAGAATTGTAATGTGCATAGAAATATCTCTTTCATACCTGGTGAATGCATAATTTTTTTCTCTCTCTTTTTTTCTCGGGTGGGTTACATATGAAAAAAAAAATTCAGTTCGTTGGTATGCACTTAATGATACTTATTCCTAGTAAGATTATCAAGATGAGTTTTTTCTTTCCCTGATACCTATCTATCAAAATGGTTAGTCATGCATTATCTATTTGTCTCTTACTTACGCAGAGGAAAATAATGTCATACTTCCTCTAACACAAGCATGAAAAAACTTTCGTCTTCTCCTTGTATGCACACAAAAAGTTTCCCCCCCCAGAGTACACATAGAAAAGTTGTCTTCCTCCGCCAATACATACATGAATAAAGTTTACTCCCCCTCAGTGCGTACATAAAAGACATTCATCCCTAATAGAGTGCGTACACGAAAAACAAAGCAAAACTGTAAGGGGAAGAGAGGAGAGGGGAGGGGAGGGGAGGGGAGGGGAGAGGAGGGTAGAGGAGGGGAGGAGAGGGGAAGAGAGGAGAGGAGAGTAGAGTTGAGTGGAGGGGAATGGAGGGAAGGGGAGGGGAGGGGAGGGGGGGGGAGGGGAGGGGAGGGGAGGAGGAAGGAGAAATGCTCCCTAATCCACGACGTACAGTGAATACGCAATATGATCCAGCGACCCCAGAATATGTATATGGAACATTATTGTTTCCACGACGTTAAAAAAAGAAAGAAAAAATACATTATGACAATGCTATATCAGGTAATGGCATTAATGCTCTATGCTGTGATGCTAATTCATATGCTGATTGGATCATGTCACACCGTGGAAAATTATGTATACAGAGTGAATCATCATGATAATAGGCCTATGTCCCTCTGTCTCCCCCTCCCCCTCCCCCACCCCCCTTGCCCAAAGCCCATATGATCCGTCGCATGAACGAGTGAACAATCCTGCGATCAGAGATGTATGATCGACGTTTAAATATTACATTTTCGTCAGAATTATTGAATTATTCTCATTCATTCCTTCCGATCTCGTCTCCTCTTCCCTCCTCTTTTATCGTTACCTTTCAGTATCTCCCTTTTTCCTCCCATTCTTTCCCTATCCTTCCCTTTCTCCTACTATTTTCTTTTCTTTTCCCTTTTCCCGTTTTATCTTTCTTCATCCCTTTCTCCCTTCTCTGCCCTCCTTCCCCCTCTCTCCTCCCCTTCCACCTTCCGCCTCTCCAATTCCATTCTTCCTCTCTACCCTTTCCTCTGCCTCTTCTCTCCTCTTCTCTATCCTCTTCCCCTTCTTTCCCCATTCGCATAACCGATCCTTAGACTTCTCCTTCCTAAAAATAAAGGAATAGGTTATAAAAAGAAAAAAAAAATATATAATGCACTTACCTGCCTCTGTTATTCCTTCTCCCTTTTCACAAAACCTATCATCTCTCTCCTTTTCCCATTTTCAACAAAGTTCACAAACCCCGTGTCCCCATTTCCTACTCCCGTTCACATAACCTATCACCCTCTCTTTATACAACCAAACAAAGTAGATAAATAAACAAATAAACAAAACCAAGAACATAAACAAAACAAAACAAAAACAACCAAACAAACCAGCAAAGCCGACTCACCGCACACGCCCATGTAAGCGACCGCAATGTCCGACTGCTGCACGCACACCGCCCTCTGCAGCTCACACATGTTGTCGTAGGTCTCTCCGTCGGTGCCACACACGGGGCGCACGACCAGCTGGCACGCCGGTGGGCACTCGCAGCGGGCGTTGCCGAGGACGTTGATGTTGCACTCCTCGCCGGGGAGGCATGACACGGTGTCACATGGGTTCAGACCTGTGTCACGGAGGGAGAGAGAGGGTGTGAGGGAGTGATTGTGAGAAGCAGTCATGGGTTCAAGCCTGGCATAAAGATGATAGATAGATAGATAGATAGATAGATAGATAGATAGACAGATAGATAGACAGACAGAGAGAAAGTAAGATAGGGTTGTGAGAAAAGACAGATATAC